CTGAATCTCACAAACCTGAGATCATGACCTGAGCCGAAGGCAGTCGCTTAACCAACTGAGCCACCCAGGCGCCCAAGATTTTAGTTTTTTATTTTATTAATGATTTGCTTTCATTTTCGTTTTAAGGCTCTGGAGAAAAATCAGCAGTGGCTTGTGTATGATCAGCAGCGGGAGGCCTATGTAAAAGGACTTTTAGCCAAGATCTTCGAGTTGGAACAGAAATCAGAAACAGCTGCTCATTCACTCCCACAGCAGACAAAAAAGGCTGAATCAGAAGGTACTGGTATAAAAATGTTCTTTTGGGGTAGGCCTGCCTGACATTTTCCAAAAGGAGAGATTTATCAAATTTAGATTTTTATAAATGTGTTAGAAAGTGAATTAAGCAAGTCTTATAACTGAAGTAAGAAAGACCATGTTAGCAAGTCTGCCTTCTCATTGTTTTCTGAAAACGGATAGAGGCACAGGGTAACAGATCTCTGGCAGTTCTGAAGGCACATTAAATTTTCTCCTTCGTGCATGTCCTTCCCCACCTTCAAAGATCTTCTCTAACTTCATTGCTCTTAGAGTTGGCCTCGTCACTGATTATCTTTTTACCCTGTTTCCTTTCAGATGGGGAAATAGGTTCAGCAGTTCTAGGTGATGAGCTAAGAAAAGAAGAGAAACCCCCATGCAAAGCACTTTTTAAAAGACTGACAGCCCTAACAGGACTGAAGCTTTTAATTTTGAGAAAGGCAGGCAAGGCTCATAATCTTGGAGCTTCACGTTTGAATATTTAAAATGAAGCTAATGCTAAAAAAGAAAATATAAAAAGAATTGGGGACAACATTACTTTACTGTAATGCCTTTATAAGAATATTACGCATTAAAGATTTTAGTGTTGGGCTAAGTCTAATTTCTTTCTTTGGCAATAGTGTTCTCTCTGTGTGTGTATGTGTTTTATCAAAGTAATATAAGCTCTTGTTAAAGTAATTTAATAGTAGTATAAAAGGGCCTGCCCCTCCTTTCCCAATCTCTCTTTCCCCCTCCCATCAGGGCAGCTGCTTTTAACATTTTTTTTTAATTTTGGTAATTATATATATAAATAATGAGCTTATGTCTCCATTTTTGATTTATCTTCTTTAGACATTAGTTACCTTCCCTTCCCTTCCCATTGAATAGCTATATTACTATTTCCAGGTCTTCTATTTATTAGTTTAACTTCAAATAATGTACCTGAACTTCTTTTTCTTGTTCCATCAAATATCAACTCTATCTCTTGACTCTTCATTTTGTAAGATCTTATTTATAGAAATGTGTTTAGTTTTAGCTTCTCAGGAATATTATTATATAAAGTGTGTTGTGCCCTGATGTGTTTGTCATAGGTTATCTTCAAGAAGAAAAGCAAAAATATTACAACCATCTTTTGGCGAATGCAAAAAAAGATCTTGAGGTTGAACGACAGACCATAACTCAGTTGAGTTTTGAACTTAGTGAATTTCGAAGAAAATATGAAGAAACCCAAAAAGAAGTTCAAGATTTAAATCAACTGTTGTGTTCCCAAAGAAAGGCAGATGTACAACATCTGGAAGACGATAGGCATAAAACAGAGAAAATACAAAGGCTCAAGGAAGAGAATGATATTGCTAGGGAAAAACTTGAAGAAGAGAAGAAGAGATCTGAAGAGCTCTTATCTCAGGTGAGCCTAACCAGTAAGACTTTCCATGATTCCGAATTCGAAATTGTCATGGTCCTTAGCAGTGTCAGGGGCTATTTTAACTACTAGGGAACCAGCAAGGAACAAAACCAGTTCCTGCCCTGCCATGGGATTCTTCTTTAGAATGGAAACAGACCATAAGCAAGTACCTAAATAACCAAGTAAATTCAAGAAAATAAAGCAGGGCAACACGACATGGAGAAATTGGGGGCCAGGGATGGTACTTGGACAAAGGCCTTTTGGCAAGAAGGAACCAGTGAGGTGAGCGACTGGGAATTCCCTCCCGTGGAGAAGCTCATGTACACGCAGGCTTTCCGTGAGAAGGAGGCAGGTGTGTGTGAGAAGCCAGAAGGTATGACACAAAGAGGGGAATCAGTGCTGGCTCCCAGGCTGGCACCTTGATCATGATGATAGTGTGCTCATGTGAATTCACACAGTACCTTCCGTGTTCTCATTATACTCACCACCTTCTGCAGGCTGTCTGTGTCAGTGATGGTGGAGTTACTAAGTTAGGATGATTAGAATTGCATACTACCTCAGCAGAAACTGTTAATTTAAATCTTCCTGGGCAGCATGGAATATTGGAAAAACATTATTTGGGGTCCATACCTGGTGTGTAGTTCAGGATGTGTGGCCTTAGGAAAATCAGCTACCTTCTCTGACTTGGAGGTCACTGATGTGTCAAATTAGTAACCACAATCTCTTTTTGCTTCCTGGGGCTTTTGTGAAGGTCAACTGGGAGAATGTGAAAGTGCTTTGTAAAGTCAAGGGCTGGGTAGATGTCAGTCATTGCTACTATTTTTTTTTTTTTTTAAAGACTTTATTTATTTATTTGACAGAGAGAGACACAGCGAGAGAGGGAACACAAGCAGGGGGAGTGGGAGAGGGAGAAGCAGGCTCCCCGCAGAGCAGGGAGCCCGACGCGGGGCTCGATCCCAGGACCCTGGGATCATGACCTGAGCCGAAGGCAGCCGCTTAACCAACTGAGCCACCCAGGCGCCCAGTCATTGCTGCTATTAAAATAGGAAGTAATTTTTAAACATCATCCAAAAGTTGAGAGAGGGTTTAAAAAACAGTCTATAACATTTGCCTTCTTAGTCTTTACCACCCTGGCTTCTGCCTATAAGCGCGAACAGTGATATTTACAAAAGATGAAGCAGAAATGGTCGGGAGTTTTATTCCACCTCTGTGGGCAAGGATGGCAAGGCACTACCAGCTTTGTTAACCTACTCAGAAATATTAGTGGATGTCAGAACTCCCAGGGAACTGGGTATGTGCATTGCAGAGTTGGGTGCTGTTCATCGAAGTGCAGTCTGTGCCCCAGGGAACTCTCAGGCAGGGTGGGACTGCCCAGCGGCTCGAATAGATAGCCATTAAACAAGCTGCTGCAGTGACTCAGCCCAACGAGCAGGTGTGGTCCCGGATAGGGATGTGAGATTTGTGAGCCTCTCCTGCGTCCCAGCTCACGCAATAGAAGATCGGATATGACAGTGTTGGCTCTGTTTACGTCTGACAGGTCCAGTTTCTTTACACGTCTCTGCTAAAGCATCAAGAGGAACAAACAAGGGTAGCTCTGCTGGAACAACAGGTACTTATTGGGGTTGCTGCTATATTCAACTGAACTTGTTAGGAAATGGAATGTTTCCTCATGTTTACACTATTCTGTGAAGAACCATTTGAAAATCATGAAATTTTTTTTTTTTTTTTTTTAGAGTGGAACCAGTTGAGCCAGGGGATCAGGGGTAGGGGCAAAGGGAGAGGGAGAGAGAGAATCTTAAGCAGGCTCCATGCCCATGCGCCATGTGGGGCTGAATCTCACAAACCTGAGATCATGACCTGAGCCAAAGTCAAGAGTTGGACGTTTAACCAACTGAGCTAGCCAGGTGCCCCTGAAAGACGTTTTTTAACAAACGTTAACAAAAACAAAAAATTAAGTGACTCTCTGTCTGATAGTCATATGTTCCTATCTTTAAGCTAAGCCAGATTCTCTGAGCTGGGATGGCAATTGTTTTGATAGGGTGTTGTTGGCCTTAGCAAATTTTATTCTTCCCCGCATGGCTTCTGTAGTCCCTACTCTAGCCTAGCAGGATCTCCCCCAGAGGGCTACCTTATAACTTCAAGTAGAACTCAGAGAGATACCATTTATTCTCAGAATAGAAACCAGAGGTTTTCAGTGTATTCCAAACCAGGGAACAGCCATCTCTTTCCCTTCTCCCCCTTCCCCACAAAGAGGGGGATGGGGAGGAGAAATTCCAACCAGCAACTTCCTAAGCGCCTCCTCACTCACCTATACTTCAAGCATTGGCTTTGCTCCTCGGACAAACCAAAGCCTCAACTGTAGCTTCTTCATCTATCAACATCTCATTGTACTCAGATGAATTCTGGCTGTGAAGGCACAAATGCTTGCCTCTTGTGCTAATAAAAACGTTCAAGCATCTAGTCAAGAGAACGGGACAGGATATATTAACCCGTGATTGTCTTGTCCTGGGCATTTGTTCCAGATGCATGCATGTACATTAGACTTTGAAAATGAAAAACTTGACCGTCAAAATATGCGGCACCAACTGCATGTAATTCTTAAGGAGCTCCGAAAAGCAAGAAATCAAATAACACAGTTGGAATCCTTGGTGAGTCTGGAATGGTTAAACTAAAACTTATTTTCTTCTTTCTCTTGCTGCCATTTTCCCATTGATTTATCAAACCAGTTCCTAAACTAGGAGGATACAGCTTAAGAATGGCTGTTTCTCAAATCACGCAGAACCCCTGCTTCATCTGAAGCAGCTGCCTTTTGAGCATCAGTTCAGAGCACTGGAAAGAGGGACATTATGTGCCTCTGCATCATGCCAGCCTTAGAGGTATCTGGGATCGTCTCTCCCCGCCCCAGCATGGGGATTCTAGAGGCACGACACAGGGCCTGCCCTGGGGGGGGGGGTAGGGAGTGCAGTTGTAAATCCTGAACTGAAGCTATGTTTTTCTATTTAAAAAGAAAGAAAGAAATGCCATTTTTAGTCATAATGGATTGTTCCTGTTAAGACACTGTTTTAGGCATATTGAGGTAAACACATAATCTTTTAAAACATAAACCTTTTAAATACGATTTTTTCTATGAGGATTTTTGACTTACTACTTTCATCTTACTAATAAGCCTTTGGGCCAAACCTCTTGGGATCTGTGTGTGTGTGTGTGTGTGTGTGTGTGTGTCTGTGTGTTGCATTAGCACATATCTTATACATGATCCTAGTACTGCAGAATATTTGCAGATAGTGAAATGTTACAAATAGAATTCCTGTTTTGAAAGAGGAAAAAAAAACAGTTGTTAAAAAAGTCATTTGTAGCTTCTTTATGAATAAAAGACAAAATATATTTTGACTCTGTTCTTTAGTACGTCATTGATTTTGACCATTTATAATATTTTGAAATTGAAATTTTCATTTCTGTTACTCTTTTTCAAAGTATAGGAAACTAGAGGGTATACAAAAGAATCCATAATTTTTCTGTACTTTTCTTTGTGTCCCTGCTGTCTATCATCTTTAGAGTATGCTCTAAAATACTTATTTTTAAGCTTTATTGACATATTCTAAGTTCCTCAGGAAAAAAAAATGAAAAAGGAAAGTCATTAAGATATTATACAATATTTTCATCATTTCTGTGTGTAACCTGTTTGATCTGCTAAAATTTTTTGCTCCTCTTAATTCTGTTATTTTTTTTTATTGCTGAACTTGCCCCTTTTTTACAAAACTAACAAATTTTGTCAGCCTTGTACATAGGTCTACCTTTACGTTTGGTTCTAAGTATTTTAATAAAATCTATCCATGTAGACACCCAATCCTAGTACTTCTTGGGTAATTTATAACCACCTCCTATACATTTATTTTTCAGAAGCAGCTTCGTGAGCTTGCCTTCACAGAGCCACTAGTCACTTTCCAAGGAGAGTCTGAAAACAGAGTAAAAGTTGCATCACCAAAAAGTCCCACTGCTGTACTAAATGAAAGCCTGGTGGAGTGTCCCAAGTGCAATATACAGTATCCAGCCACCGAACACCGGGATCTCCTCGTCCACGTTGAATACTGTTCCAAATAGCAATATAATTATTCTTTGTTTTTGTGTCAAAAGGTTCAGTACTGTATCTTATGTCAGCTTGTGGACATTTTGAATTACTTATTTCACCTCTTCTATAAGAAACTGCCTCTCTCCCTTTGAGACTCTGGCATAGGAGTGAATCATTGTATTTTGGGGGCTGCTTTGCATTTTCCTTGGCAGCAACGATACCTCCCTGAGATGGTTCATCTTCAGGCTTCAGTGATCGAATGTGTGAGCTGAGACAGCTGACATTTTGCACTGTTAAAATACTTGATGAGGAAAAGATAGTTCAGGTGATTGCTCGTGGGTTAAATCTGTTGTACCAGCAAGCAAATATTTTATGTTTTGTAGATTTTTAAAAATCAAAGTTAACTAACCAAGGATCTTACTGTGTTGGCTTTCGTTATCCAAGCTTTGTAAACCTACAATTCCGATTTTCATGGCCATTGTTATAAGGTGGTAATACTTTCTATATTTTTCCCTTTCTTTTATAGGGCGGTTTTTAGAAAAGTTGGAAGTTTTCTTGATCTTTTTTGCTGCTTACTGTTGAAACCGAGCTGTGTTCTAAGCACGAAGCAGATTCTGCTTAAGGAATACTCAGTGGCCACACAATGTTCTCTTTCATACTAACCGGCTATAACTTTAACTTGAGTTTCATTAGCACATGTTGGTCAGTTAAAGATGTTAAAATGAATTTTAGCAAAACCATCTAGCCCTCTCATTTGATTAGCAGGTATTTTATTTATTTATTTTTGGCACTCTTAAAGTTGGGCAGTGTAATGAGCAGATATTTGCTTATCTGAATATATATTTTTATACATGTGTGTGTAAACCCCCAATTTTTTTATTTCTTCAGGTTTTCTAAAATGCTGAACACTGGGCTACTGTTAGTAATATAAAGGAGAAAAACATAAAATTATTTAATAAGTTTTAATATGTCTAGTGTCTATCTGCGTAGATAGGTATTCTCAGATTTCTATCCTGAGAGGTGTGCCCATGTAAGGACTCACTTACAGTGTAAAATGATAAGGTAAAGAGCCATTGGAAGCAAAAAGTACATGAGGCTCAGAAAGGTTAAGCGAAATCCCCACAATCATTTAAAAAAGAAACATACACATTCTTGGGTTTCAAACTCCTAAGTCAGCTCCAAAGCCAGTCTTCACTCTACCCTGCCAGAAAACCCTTGTGAATTCTCCAAACTCATATACTTAGGTGATATTATAACCGGAGTAGTGGAATGTTCCTTAAGTCAGAGAGGACAACAACAGAACACACCAATTGATCCCTTCCGTCCCTCTGGTCTGCGAAGTTCTGCCTCATCAAGCCGCTCCTCCACCTGGATCCTTCCATGCATCCCTGCTATGCTAGTTCTCCAACATCTCTAATCTCATTCTCCAAATACTTGTTAAATGCCAACTACGTGCAAGTCCCTGGGCTAGGTATGAGTGACACAGTGATAATGAAATGCAGCCCCATCTTCATCCTCTAGTAGAGAAGGCCAATATCTAACAGATAAGTATAACACATTTTAGGGCGCCTGGGTGGCTCAGTTGGTTAAGCGACTGCCTTCGGCCCAGGTCATGATCCTGGAGTCCCTGGATCGAGTCCCGCATCGGGCTCCCTGCTCGGCAGGGAGTCTGCTTCTCCCTCTCCCACTCCCCATTTGTGTTCCCTCTCTCGCTGTGTCTTTCTCTGTCAAATAAATAAAAAATCTTTAAAAAAAAAAAAAAAGTATAACACATTTTAGGAGGTGCTATAATCAAGGTATATGGAGGGTACAGAAAGTGCCTTATTCTAATGAAGACTAAAGGTCTTACTCTCGAAAGATGCAAACCTTATACAAGATAAAAGTAGGAAATAGAGTAAAACAAGACTAAGAAGTAAAATGGAGCTACTCCTAAGGGTAGCCCCCCAAGGCAGGCCATGGAGTGCTTCTGAGAGGTGAGCCTGGTGCTGAGCACAGGGAAACAGTCCTGCACGCCGTTCACATGGTTCACACATACAGCTCACCTTCAAGGAAAACACCACTACAGCCATCCTGGGGCTGAGGCTGTGAAGAGATTTCTCCCGTGTGCCTTCACGGAGAAGAAACCATAGAAGGGAGAGGTCCAGAGCCTCAGCATAGCCTTACCGTGAGCTCAGCAGTCGGGTCCACTCTACTGGTATCTCACCGCGTTCTTCCGCGGCGGGGAATAATGTCCCGTCCAGAGGCGAGTCCAGAATCCGCGAGGGCAGGCAATGTCATACTCTCGCAATACGTAGCTTGCTACTGCCCTTGCTTATCCCAGAGCAAATTTTAGAGTCAGGGGAGCCAACTCAAAGGCTCCCTCGGACCGGAGCTGGGTGGCGGGAGGCCGCCAGCCAGCTGGACACCGTGGAGGCTGGAAAATGGTGCCTTTACCTAAAGGAGGTGCAGCGGCTCGGCCCCAGCCGGGGTCCTATGCCCACGAGTCGCGTGCAGCCGATCTGTCAGATTTTCCAAGAGAAATCTCGAATATTTAAATGTGAAATCCTCCATTTTTTAAATGTTGGAAAATTAAAAACAACACTGCGTGGGCCACGCTTCCCAGCTGTAACCTTTGTTAGAGCATCCAAATGGGGCAACAGCTGCGGAGGCCAGCTCAGCCTGAGGCCAGCAGTGAGCTAAGGCTGGCTCTCGGTCCTGCCTGCTTTCTTGGGACTGAGGTCCCCCCGAGTCCAGCTCAATCACATAGACACTGTCCGAGGGACACAGTGAATGCGGCCCTCCCTGACCTGTCCCTTCCACCTGCCATCTGGCTTTCTTTTTGTGGCTACACTTCCCAAACAGAACCGGCTGGCTGCCAGCATGTCATTGCTACCCTCTGCTTCCCAAACCTGACAACGGAGGGAATCTGCGGGCTGGAAGGGAACTATGAGATCATCTACTTGAGCAGTTTCTGGTCCGGAAAATCACCTCCACCCTTGGAGCATGTTGAAAATGTTGATTTCTTGGCGTCCCCTAAATCTCCTAAATCAGAATGTCTGGGGGTGGGGAGCATGGGATGTGCATTATCAACAAGCTCTGCAGGGCAATCTGGTGTTTCACTCAAGGCTGAGAACTGCTCATCTAGTCAAACCTTGACTTTCTGATGAAACAGAGTCCCAGAGAGGGGGGGTGACTTAGTGGGTTGGCAAGAAAGTGACAGAGACCCAGGCTTTCAAAGGCAGTGGTCGTGAGAGCCCCTACCACTTTGGCTCGTGTGCCATGATTCCAGAGAAATTACCCTTGCCAAGATCCTCAATGCTCTGTCTTCCTAAGGCAAATCCAGTGGTTTGTTGGCCTGGGTGTCTTTATTTCTCCTTATCCTCTGTGCTGTGCTCTCTGCCTTGAATCTAATGATACACTGGCTTTGGACAGTTAAGTGGGAAATTCTAGCAAGACATACAAGTGGACCACAGTGGTGGCATCCAAACAAAGGTGAAAGGCCAGGAATTTGCATAAAATCAGAAGAGATGAAGAAAGGATCAAAGAAGACAGCTCTGGAGAGCATCCTGCAGTCCAGAAGTAGGCAGGAGCGCTCAGAGAGAATCTAATTAACGTTGCATCTTCCAAACCAAGCAACCAGTGGAAGAACTGGCATGCCCCCTAGAGAATGAGTTAGCATCTGACAATAACCTTCACCTTCTTGCCTACCAGACTTAGTATATTGATTTAACCCCAGGATTGGCACACCTTCCACTACAATGATTTAACAGGTATTTACAGGTAAGTCTCCTGAAGAAATCATCCTCATTTCAGAGGACGTACCAGGTGCTGACCTCCTAATTTGATTCAGGAAACATTTAGCCCGTCTGCAATGGGTGAGGTGCCGTGCAAGACACCAGAGGTAGAGAGAAGAGTATGGTAGGGCCCACGGTTAGCAGAGCCAAGGTGATCGACGCAGATCAGTGACGGCACAGTAAGGTCAGTCACCCCACCACTGAGCGAGGAGAGGCTTTCTGAAGGAGGTGATGACTGAGCTAGGTTTAAGAAAACAAATAAGATTCAAGTTTTAATGGTGTTTGTTCCCGGACCGATGTCAAAAGTGAATCATTAAGCAGAACTTAAAGTAGAACTTAAACAGTTCTCTTAAACGGCCTGTGTTATATGGGTCACTTTCTGATGACAAAGGGTGCGGGTGTAGAGGAAGGGCAGGAGTGTGGATCCAGATCCTGACACAGTGAAAGGCGTTCCTTCGTATCCTCCTAACTAGCTTGTAGCCGCAAAGCTACAGAGAGCAGACTGTTTTGAATGCTAAAATACCAAAGGAGATAATACAAAATAGAGGTTTATTTTATTTATTTTGAAGATTTTATTTATTTATTTATCAGAGAGAGAGAGAGAGAGAGAGCACAAGCAGGGGGAGCAGCAGGCAGAGGAGAAACAGGCTCCCCGCTGAGCAAAGAGCCCGACGCGGGACTCGATCCCAGGACCCCAGGATCACGACCCGAGCTGAAGGCAGATGCTTAACCGACTGAGCCACCCAGGTGTCCCTAAATGGAGGTTTTAATGAAGGAGAAGAGAAAGGTCAGCTTTGCTGGTTTGATTCACAGCTACTGCAGACAGCAGCCATGCCACCTTGCATAGACTATGAAGGTGTGCGTTTCACTTGATTTTTATAAGGTGGAAATAAGCAGAGGGGGAGCTGATACTGGAGAATGAAGAAAAGCTTCCAGAGTATATTATTTTCAATATAAATTTAACAATCGCTCACATTCGCACATATGCAATAGTAAAAATACCCTTCTCTTGAAAGAGTGAATTTTATGGAAATGATTCTGTTTACTGGAGATCAGAAAAGAAGCATCTCAAAATTTAAATTTTATTTTGTTTTACTTCCTTGGCAATGTCAAGGAAGTATGTTACTCTGGAAAGAGCCCTGAAATGGGAACCACCAGACCTGGATGAAAATCTGGCTCTGACTTGGCTTTGACACAGCTGCCTGTCCTGTCCGAGGCACATCCTGGGAGGGAAGCAGTCTACATAAAACCTTACTGGATTCCTAGCAGTTCTTTGCAGACGGCAGCCCAGGACTGTTGTGGAGCTAACCTAGTCATGGGGGCCCCAACGTGCCTGATAGGGCTCAGGTTCAGGTAGGGCAGAGGGAAGAGAAAGCCCCCTCAGCCTGAGTTTCCTGCACACTTCGTTAGGAATCTCAGCGCCTGCCCCAGCTCTCTTCCTAGGATGTCATCGAAACCAAAGGCCAATTTATTTTGGAATCCTGTGTATTAAGCGTATTTAGTGTCCCAAGCAATATGTTAAAAACTTCATATGCGTCCTGTCATTTTGTCCTCACGGTAACACTATATATGTGGGAGTTTCTATAATCGCTTCATTATATAGATGGGGAAGCTATGGTTTAGGGAGCTTAAGTCACTTGTCCAAGGTCACACAGCAATGAGAGTGGCAGGGCCAGTACTTGAACCCTATAATAGGGTTCTTACCCCCCTACATAATGCTGCCATTCCTCTATCATCTTAAAGCCAGAAAATGTATGTGAAAGCACATCACAGATGGAGAAATACTGTCCAGGATTATTTTTCTTTTTCAGCAATGATTCTAGTGTGGACAGGGATGAAGAAAGTGACATTCCCTACCCACACCCCCTTCCCCAGAGCCTCCATTCCGTTTACTCCTCCATTATAACCAACTCCTCATCTTCATTTGCCACTCACATCAGTGCAGATGCTTTTGGATGCAAATACAGGTTTCCCCCACTATCCAAGAGTAGAGCGGTCCTATGAAACCTTTCCTAAGCCAAAATGGTGTAAAGTGAAGAAGGAGTTACCATTAATTTATATGGAAAAAATTTTTGAGCATTCTTAGACCCAAGAAATAATCTTTCTTAGACGTTTCTGATACCTTAGGACACATCTTGCTAATGGTGCACAAAATAAATTGAGACAAAGCACAGTTGTTCCCAGACACAAAAGTTTGACACGCTGATGCTGAGATGCTGAATGTAGTTTCAGAGAAAGGAGCTTGGCACACAGAGAACCCCTCTCAAAATCAATAAAAATAGGTCAACACCCCGACATCTAATAGTAAAACTTATGA